TTTATTATATAAATATGTGATTGACAATGAATATATAGAAAAAAAATTTATTTTTAATTAAAGCCCGTCAAATAGGGGCTTAACTAATTAAACTCTACTCATGTTCAAGGTTTAGTTATTGTATATTTTAGATCATTAAATCAAAGTAAAATGTTTAACTATTTAACTCTACTCATGTTCAATTCATATTGTGGTTTAATTATTAAAATATAAATCATTAAATTAATGATTAAATGATAATATTTGTATCTCGTTACTAATTAACATATCCCTAAATATAAATTTTTCGTCTTTTGATTAATCATAATAACAAAAGACAACCGCATGAATGGTTAGAAATTTCTCAATTTAATAATAAATTCATGAAAATCAAAATTGAGTATTCAACATGCAATCTTTCGATTTAATATATAACAAATATAATTTAATTTAATTCTCATTAACAAAAATAAAACAATTCAATCCAACACGATTAATAAGAAAAAATCCAAAATAATTATTAAAATTTTAAAAAAAGTCAATCCATTACATCATTTGTTCTAACAAATAATGTAACCAAGAAACATGATTAAGAAACCAAGATAAGAAGAATTTTACGAATGACATTTGAATGGTGTTTTACACATTTATCGTTATTTAAAAAGTTCTATTGATAAGTGATTATTTTATTCTCAAAATTTAGGAATCTTCTTTTATCCCTGTTTGAGCTCAATTTTTATTTTAATGTATTTTTTTTCTTTCTTCTTTTCAAACTCACATTTTTAAAAAAAAATAATATTACACGTAAATTTAAAACTTTTATTAATTTTTTTTTCAAAAAATCACCATTTCTATGTATATTTTTCCTAAAACTTCATTAAAATAGAGTCCAAACAAGGGCTTAGCCATATGTAGATATATGTTACGTCTTTGATCTACATAAGTTAAATCGCAAATAGGGTATCAGTTTATACATTGTGGAACAACTATATCATGAAAATCCGTGAAACAAACCTTAAAAACAACTTCAAATTATTATGAAATTATTGCAATCCACGATGTAAGTTGAGTATGTGTTTGGGGAACGACGCATCATATCCAAACATAATAAAGATTAATTTCAACAAAAGGTAGTTCAATAACATTTTACAAAAATAATGCAGTATGTATTGCCTATTTCCAATGAGACTATATAAAAGGAGACAGAATAAAACATATTTCTTTAAAATTCCTCTATACTCTTGAGATGTAGAAGACTGATAATATTATTCAATAGATTTGCTCAACCAATAATGTGATCGATCGATTCACAAAAGTATTATCAACATTTACATTCAATAAATTAGTTAACGAGGCAAGAATGCGTCAACTAAAAAAATTTCAACGATCAACAATAGAGAAAGTAGCTTTTCTGACAAGGTTTTAATAAGACATTTATTTTTAGATTTTTTTTAAAAAAATAATTGTTCTCTTCTTATTTCGTTTGATACTTTACATCAGATAATGTTCTAATAAGACAAGTATAATATAATGAGTTATTCAAGATGAGTTTTGTAAATTATATTATAATCAATAAACGATCATTACATCCTAGCAACCCCAATACTTCCCCTATAAATATGGAACTTTGCCCACATTTGGCATCCTTTAAAATTTATCAATTTAGCTTAAATTTTTCTCTCTTATTTCAACAACACAATTTTCACTAAAATAATATTTCACGTAAATCGAATTTTTTTTATTCTTTTACAACCATCCATTTTCAAAAAAATACTATTCCTTATGGGGTCATACGAGGCCAAACAAATTTATTAACTTCTTTATTTTCTTCTCAGTTTCTCTGTAATAATTATATTATTCTGTGTGGTGAAAAATGGATTTCCTTATTTTAAGATTGTAAAATCCCGCTTTTTGGAAGAAATATAAGATCATCAAAATCACGTGAAGTTTAAATTAATAAATCTCCATGGAACAACAACACGACTATCTTCATCCCAAAGATAACCTACCATAACATATATGTTTCCACACGAGCATCGAGAAATTTTTCCACAAAAGTTCTATAAATCATGAAAGGAACTTCTGATTACTCATCAAAATGTGGCTTTGGTGCCACAGTCTACAAAAAAATGATCAAATTACATATAAGTAGAAAACCTTCTGAAACCAGAATATATATAAAATTCCTAAACCATTTTGGCATGATGAAGATTTGAGTGTTAAGCAATCCGATTTTACCGGTTTTTAACAGATTTTCAAACCAAACCGTTTAAAACGGTTTGAAAAAAACCCAAACCTAAACCAAACTATTTTGAACGGTTTGAAAAAAACTCAAACCTAAACCTAACCGTTTGGTCCGATTTTAAACTGCCGGTTTTGCCATATATTTTTTTGCTTGTCTACTTTTATCTCATTAATTCATTGAATTTAACATATATTTATAACTCGCTAGTAATAAATTTAAAACAAACTAAGCCCATGTTTGAAACAAATTTTTGGAACAAAAAAAATGAAAATTTGGATCGTTAATCCACAAGTCCAGCCGCCTTTGTTGACTTGCTATTTCATGTATGGGACCCAGCCTCCTCTCTAATAATCAATTTTCTCATTATGATGATATGAAAAATATGACTCAAACAGGAGCTAAATATATCTACTATAAATATAAATATCAACTAAATTAAAGTGAAATTACAATAAACTAAAACATAGTTTTTTTTTTCATTTTTGTTCACATTTTTTAGGCTAATGACGATACAATAATGTTACAATACAAGTCTACTAAACTAGATATAAGATACAAAAAAATAATGATGTCTAACAAGACCTCGTGATCATCATATTTGAAAAAAAAGATACTGATTAAACAAAGAAAATAACCAACCACAATAATAAAGCAATTGTTTGTAATATCTAAACATAACAATTACACAAGTTTACATTTGTATGATGTTACGAAACACATTTAATTTCAAATCTTATCTTAGTTTGTTCCAAAAAATTATTGATCTGAAACTTTATTTGTAACAAATATTATCACCGAATGTCTAGGATCTTTGTTTGTGATTTGATATATTGGACGTTAATTCAACTTTGAAGAGGCATGAAAAATTTGAAAAAGAAGTATGTGGTGCCGGTGGCTCAAAACTATGTTGGGTGTCGACTGGAGTTTATCTAAACTATGAAGAGGAAAAATGATTTTGATAGATTATGTTAGTCTTGAAATTATTAAATATATATTAGGATTATTGGATGATGATGATGATGATGATGATGATGATGATATATCTATATTAGAAAATTAAAAATTGACAAAAATACCCACAAATAACAAAACTATTGAATTTTACATATTTTGATGAATTTTCAAAAAATTTCATTTTTATATATTTTTTTGCTGGTTCGGTTTAGTTTTAAACCGCAATTAAAATTTTCAAACCTAAACCAAACCATTTTGACTGGTTTGGTTTGGGTCAAAACCATTTCGTTGATCGGGTCCACGTGGCAACAAACCAACGATTTTTAAAATACCGTTTCGATTTGATTTTGCGATTTTTGCTTACAGCCCTATGAAAAGGTAATTTGTGATTATTTATACAAAAATAAATAAATAAATTTGTAATTAAAAAACGAGTAGAAAAAAAAAATCGAAATACACTCAAATGGCAGGAGAACTATGGAAGTGTGACACACTGCAAGTAGAAGATCGGGGAATAGCCTTCCGGGAAAGCAAATGGTTTGACATAAGAGATGTTCTGCATATCAAGGGCCCCTAAGTGATCAAGGAGATGCGTTTTCCTTTATGGCAAGCTACAATCACCAGAGGAAATATTTCTCTACTGACGAGGCTGCTGCAACAGCTGATAGGTATAATGTGAAGAAGTTCCCCAGTCTTAGCCCTTGCGTTCGAAGGTGCTTGATTCCTTAGAAAGTAGACCGTGTCACAAATCAAGGTTTCAATAGAATGTGCAGGGGGTCAAGGTGATGGACATAAGCGCCACACACCAATGATTTTTAGAAATTGGTAGCCAAAGGGTCAAATTGTAGAGCATACAGAAGAGCAAACAAAGAGAAGAAAACTACTTCATGACTTCCATTAAAGTGAGCTATATAAACTACATTCATTCAGTCACTGTTTTGCCTTCTTTCTCACCTTAATGAGTGAATCACTGAAGCAAATACTACACGTGTTCAACTTCTCTTCCATTCTTCTCTAGCCGTGTTACATGGTACGACAGACGATGAGAAAATGGGTAATTTCAGCTTGAATTGCAACCATGAGAAGACAACACCGTCTTCCCTGAAGCTTGTGATTTGGGTTGTCAATAAGTATTGTGGAACCTAACAACCATATGACACTTGAACAAATAACCATATCAGCCAAAGTCAATTTTTTGAAAACACCAGATGGATTAGTCCCCCCATCGGATAGTTTTAGAAGGATCAGAGCAGCACAATTGATTGTTATGACTCAAAATGAGATGTTACTCGGCATGACAATTACCGTGCCTTAATCAATAGAGGCTGAAGATTATCCAACATGGCTGCAACATATGTTAAGACAGAAGATCAACGGGAAACTAACTGAGGATTGCATATCTAGGTGACAGGGCTTTTGGGGAAACAAATGGCAGACTAAGTTTGAGCAAGGGGGATTGTTAACCTAAAGTGGAATGGCCACAAATATTTTTCTGAAACAAATTTTGCACGCTCCTATCATCAACAGAAACTGCATATACAAACAAGCTATACATGGAAATATCTCAATATATATTGATTCTATATGAAAAATACTAATATTTAATGGAAAAATTATCACCAAGAATCAAAGTCATGATTTCAATTAAAACCCAAGTCCCATTCCATGAGCATACAAACATCAAGTACATAAAAGGAGAAAACTCATCACAATATAAAAGAAAAAGAGCACCCGACTGACATGCTAGCAACACATATATTGGATTCAAAAACCACCTAGCTTTGCCATAGCTACTCGGAACATAAACTAGAGACAAATGGACTACAGAAGGGCATGAATCTAATTTCAATATCTCAGAATTCAGAACGAAGCAGAGGATAAAGACAAATCATTTCTACTAAAGGGGGGAATATGAACAACATAAAAATAAAATCTAAGTTCTAGGCCTATGTTTATCTTGTTTTCCATGTCAGAATGAATCATTGTGTGTCATATGAGTTGTGACAATACACATTGCAGTACGAAATAGACATGTACAAGAAAAAGTTCCAAGTTTTTTCATTGCAAAAATACAAAAGAAAAACCTAATTCTCAGCCACGAATATCACTGAAAGCAGACCGCAATACATCATCCCCAACAACAGATCGTAATTTTGTCATGAAAATATCCTTCCCCATTTTCCCTTCCTGCAATGCCATCAAAGTAAATATGTAAAATCGATGCTAAAATTTTAAACCTGATTCCTTATTATTATATAACTTAACATATTGGGTAAAAAAAAAAATGGCGTAGGATCTAAACGCAATGAATGCTTACCTTATATGCACCGCACAACGTTTGGAATTCTTGAATTTTAGGGAGAGAGAGAGAACTTTTCAGTTTGGAAAATAACTCCACAATCAAGGAATTCGAACCATGAGAAACCCAATTCACATTTGACATACCATTTTCACGATCTGAGAGAGAGAAAGATCGTAATAATCAAATCAAAAGTTGCTCCCCTTACTTTGCGATGTAGATAAATACAAAGAGATCAAGATTTACCTGACACGTCTATGGGTATGTAACTGACAACACACTCCGGAAGAATGTGGGTATTCATGTTGTCACACCACACCACATACCACTTAGGATTCTTCAAATCATCCACACCGGAATCATACTCCACACTCGAAGGATGTAACTGCCGAGACCCTGCTCCAATCTTCTCACATTTTCCCAATATCACACGACAAAGAATTATATGCTTCTCCCCATTCTCATCTGTCTCTGTAAACATTGCACTGGATCAAGTTTTCACAACCAACCAATAACATGAGTAAACCAGCAAACTGAATGCACTATATTCCAAATAGGGAAAGCAACCGAAAGGCACACCATAATACGTAAATAAACAATATAACACATATCAGACGACTAACAAATATAACGGGAATTTTCAAATGTGAATAACAACTGCAATGCAAATATAGGTAAAAATACACATAAAAGACACACCTATTGTCGGGTGATCGTATAGGAGATAGATAAATCCCATCGCCATATCCTTGAGGACCAGGAACTTTGCCAGGCATACCAAACCCATGTTTCAAAATGCTCTCCACACCCTTGGCCGAGGTTCCATACCACGCAAAAATTGTATTACTATCCCCTCTGGCGATTTTTGTGATCTCCATCTGCTTCAGAAACATTACATGACGTGCCTGATCCAATGGACTGGTCCTCACGCATCGATGAATCGAAGTAATTTTAGCACTGTGCTTCAACATCCCCATCCCGGACAAAAACAAATTCTTCACTATTAAATATCCCTTTTCATCTGCTCTCAATACTCTCAGACCCGGCCACCTCGCTGAGTGAATTTCATTGCCAACTATTTGTCTCCTTTTGGCATCATTAAAATTGGATGAACTCCCTTCAGCTTTTCCTTTTTCTGTACTTTCCAAACACTCTCTCTTCCTCTTATTCAAATTTTCGCATTTATTCAAATCCCAAGAATTCGAACCCTCTAAATTCCCCGAATTTTCGCTTATTCTTATCTCGATTTCTACTTTAACACCACTCTCATCGCAATTCTCGAGAGTATTCTCATTATTTCGATTGCCATCAACAAAAACCATGGGGAAAAAACACTTACCATTAACATCAATCCAAGCAATTGACCGTTGATTCCCTGTATCCAACTCAAGCTCGAGCATCCTGTAGAAGTCAAAAAGACATTTATACCCATCAATTTTCCCCTCAATCACCGGTTGGCCCCCCACAAAACCCATTTTCAACAGTTCAACCACTTCTTCCGGATAATCGACCCAGGATCCGTTGTCATAGTACATAATCCGGGCCGGTTCGGAGCTCCGCTTGAAATTCCGGTAGTTCTGAATCAACATCCGCGCATGGTCACAAAACGACGTTGTCGATGATAATCTCGGAACCATAATTTTGATTGGACATTTCATCAAATCAGAAGAATCGGAGATAGAATTCATGGCTGAAATATACAATTCGAGAAGCTCTGTACAAATAATCGCTGCGACTCCGCCAGAACTTCTGAAAATATCATTTCTATGCCGCCTGGGTATATAAGGAAGGCTTGGATCTGGAAATACATTTTTGTCCCTCGGTTCAAGTCGGCTGGGAGAGAACTGTCTGTTAAAATGAAGGGCATTTTAGGAATTCAATATGGTTTGTAACCGTTTAAAGTCAATCACGGCATTGATGGGCCGGGTTTACTTGATTCGTTTTACTTCGGCCCAAAGAAATAGATGCACAGGGACCACGCAAGAAATGTATATGAGGGTTTTTCATTTTTTTTTCTATGACTTTTTTCTGTATTATATTCTGAATTGATAACCTCGTGAGCAAGTTAACTATTATTAGGGAAAAATTGCATTGTTGGTGGACCTCTTAATATATTTGGCTAAAGTTTATAAAATATTTATAATCGATTAAATCACTTTTTATCTACGCATTTACGAAATTCACAAGTTTTACTCACTCATTTCTATATATTCATAATTTAAACAGTTTATAAACATTTTACAAGCAACACTGATAGCAAGTTTGTCTCAATTTTTAAAAATGAGTAAATTAGTCTTCAACATTTTGTTTTAATAGAATAACGAGCTTTGAAGGAGGTAAATCATCGTAAATTTGTCGTATGAAGCTTATAGAATTATATCTCACTTCAATTTTTGGACACAAGGTCGAAAAGAATAGAAAATATCGTAATGTTTGACACATACGGGTCATGTGACATTGTAATAATAATTTGAACGGTTTCGATTTGCATGTATTAACTGCAAAATTATAATGGTCAAATGTTTAGGACCAATTATACAAAGCAAAATATTGGCTTCGTCCTTGAAGATATTCTTCTTAGAGTTGGATTGTCTTGGATCCAACTATGGGGCCATTGGTAAATCCAAGTTTTTGTGGACTGCATAGTGATTTCATTAAGAAAATCAAATCATTTTTGGATAGTTATTGAATTAACGACTTAGTGCATAAAAGAAAAAGTCGATGGCTCATTTCCAATGTTTTTCTTCTTCTTCTTCAATTTGTTTTTCTCTATATACCCTTATTCCTAGAGTCGGCTCTAGCATAAAAGCCACCAAGGTGATCGTCCAAGGCTTTATGCATTGGTAGGGTCCAAAATTTTTGAAACTTAAATATTTTTACATTTTTTTATTAGAGAATAATTTTTTAAAAGACCTAAAATAAAATCTATGGCATCTCAATAGTTAAAGGTGACACTAGTACACTTGGAGTATATCGAATAGACCACATGTCGTGTTTAATTCTATAGCATGACCATGCGGAGTATTAAATTCCACTTGACCGTTATGTATTCATCTAAATCTTTTAACAAGATTATGTACATCTTTTCTGATTTTAATGGTTATTTGATTTATCAATAGGTGAGATCAATTTGATTGGTCAAATATTTCGATGAGTTGAGAATTTGAGAATGAGCGAAGTAGAAAACATGAATTCGTGTTGGGAATTGTCACCCTGAAAATGAGTAGAGTGATTACTGAAATATTTTTTGTTGAACAGTTAAAATCTGAGCTCAATATTTAGTGACGGCTAAATTTCGATATTTCTAATTAGTTCATAAAATGATTGAAGAAAATGGTACTTGAGTTAGTGAGAATAATTAAAAGGGCGAAACGGTAATTTATGCGCGTACCTAATTATCAAATCTTAGACGAAGATAAAATACATATACGACAGGTTAGAGAAAAGTATTACTGATTTATTGGTTTCTGTGATTTTATATATTCCAAGAGTTCAGTCTTTTATTTTTAGTGAAAAAAAGTAAAGACTGATAATTAGATTGGGTGACCTATAGTCGACAAGATAGGATCAAATAATTTGAGCTTGGATAATGCATGTCTAATTAGATCCCTGTCGTAGCTCTGTAAAGTATTGTAACTTAGTTACATTAATTATAGTAGTTTTGGATTTAATTATAATTACAACAAAATTTTGTACTTAGTTATAATTACTATGAAAGTTTTAAACTTAATTATAATTGTAATTGAAGTTCCATGACTACATAAATATAAATTAACTGGATTTGGACTTTAATTAATTATTATGAGTAAATTACAGGAAATAAAATGTTTAGAGATTCAATTTCATAAATCATAGGTGAAGTTTAATATTTTAAAAATCAGATATTTTGTTAATTAATTAATATATATAAAATTAATCCCAATTCATCCCAATACCGTTTCAAAAACCCACCTTCACTCTCTCATCTCCCTTCTCCACACCGCCGTTACAAATCGGTCTGGTGACCCATCGTCGCTGCAAATTCGGCTTTTCTCTAGCAAGACACACGTCAGATGTGTGTGCGCATGTTTGGCAGTGCTGCAACGCTCCGTGAAGAAGTCGTGCGTCCCGCATCACTCTCTTCTCCATTCTTCATGCTCTTTACAGATTCGTCTTTTCTCTGACGAGTGCGTGTTTGGCGGCGCTGCAACATTTCGTGAGCGACTATTTCACCGTCGTGGCCAAGGATAGTGCCATTGCATCTTGATCTGACGCTATTGTTGATTCTGCTTGTGTTGCTGATTTGGGCGGTGTTGATAAGGTTGTGGGGTGGTGTATTTGGTAATTTCTGGCTATGGTTATGGTCCTATGGCTGTGATGATTTTCGACAGTGGTCATGTTGACGGTGGAGACGTTGGTTATGTTGGTAAGGTTGTGGGTTAGGTATTGTTGGTGTGTTTGGTAGTGGTGATCGTGGTGGTTTTTGGCGACGGTAAAGGTACTCGAGTTGACAGTGGTTATGTAGGTAGCGTTGGTGAAAAGATGTGGGTTGGGTATTGTTGGTGTGTTTGGTGGTAGCAATCGTGGTGGTTTCTGGTGGTTGTTGGTGGCTAGAGATCTAATAGCGGTGGTTGTCGTGATTCTTGTTGGCAGTTGATTTGAGCTAATAATGGCGATTTTGTTGGAAGTGATGTTGTGGTATTCGTGTTGGGGGTAATGGGTGCGATGGTAGTGATGGTTCTATCGACGACGACCGTGGTGGTGCTGTTGAAAGTAGTAGTGAGATGGTGGTCGCAAGTATTTGTGGTGGTCACAAATTATTTGGTTGATTGTTACCATTAAATTGGTTAATTTATTACCAATAAACAATATGTAACCCATAAAAAATATAAATTGTGATAAAAAAAATAATGTGTGACCTAAAAAATTGTTAATTTGTGACCGATAATTTGATTATTTGTGACTGTATAATAAGTTGTTACTTGAAATATTTGTGATTTGTGATCAATAAATAAATCTTGGCTTATAATTTTTTTGAATTGTGTCCCTAAAATAATTTGTGATATAAAATTTCTGATTTGTGATAAAAAAAAATAAGCAACTAACTAAATCGTTAATTTGTGATTAAATTTATAGATTAGTGATCTAAATATATTTAACAAATAAATAAATTAAATCATAAATAAAATTTAAGTAAAAATTTGATTTTTGAAGTTTGAAACTTATTTTCTTGATTTTGAAATGTGTGATACTTAAACTTTTACTTATGAATTTTTTTCAATTATTATTGTACAAGGATTAGGACAATTTTATCTCTATAAATAAATATTAGATGGAACCTAAACATTCTATGGAATTGTACAGCAATAATAATTCTATAGTGTTCAAATGTGGAGAGACAAAATAATTATTTTTTCGCTTTATTCAATTGTCCAGCTCAAAAATTAGTTTTTTAATTTAATTAAAAGAATGTGTCCACCTACCAATTTAGTCTTGACTTTGAAAAATACTATAGAAGACTCGAAGATTTGAAGCAGTTATTGCAATTAAAAGTTGGAGTTCGTGATAAAAAAGAGTAGAAGTTTGTAATTCAAAATTAATTTAAGAATTGATCATCGAATTTAGATAAAAATTCGAATTCTTTAATCTTGATATAATATACACATGAACATCTAGACGATCTTATTTATTGAATTAAAAAAATTTATTTCTGGACAGTTTGGCTTGGAATTCTAACAATTGGTATCAGAATAATTTAGATCGTCCATGTGCTTGTTGTTTCTAAATCTTAATTGAATGATTTAATCAAGCAATGTATAGGAATAATTTATTATATATTGATTGAATGATTAGATTATTTTAAATTGTGAATATATTATTTATGACAAGTCTTACAAAATATTTTTTAATAAAAACGAAGAGAAAATTATTTTATTGTATTGTAGTATACTAGTATAAGTATTTCTAGTTTTATAGTTATTAATATTGAATATGTGATGTTTTAATTATTATATAAAATGTTAACATAAATAAAATTAAAAATTAAAAAACTTGGTACATCATAGAACTCAAATATAAGTATTGGACAACCGCTTTGAATAAAATCAATTTAGATTTTCATTTACTTGTACACAAATTTATGATATTGGCTGTTAAAAAAAAAACTCGTAGTTTAATTTGTTCATCATAAAATTAATTTAAGCAATTGGATTATAATTTGAAATTAATTTAAATTTAAAGATAAAATAATTTTTTTTAAAAAATTCAAAGAAAAAAATCAATTTAAATGTCATATATATTATTTATCAGTAATTATAGATATAAATTTAAATTCAATGCAAAAAAATGGTATAAGATTAAATTATTTTATTTACCAAATAAAAAGTTCACACAAATAAAAAATACAAAAATAAATTTAAATTAAATGGGTTGGATCATACAATTAATCCCAATAAAATAATTATAATTATATTAACTCTATTTTTACAAGGCCCATATAATACATTAAAAATTGGGCTCACAGTACACATTAAATTAGGGCAAAAACCAATATTCTTTATGCAATTCCGCTCCCTAACTCCTTTTCTTCTCCTTTTGCGATCGTGTCCTAGTACAAAATCAAGGATTCGATCCATATCCTGTGTCAATGTATCTGTGTCATGTCGTGTCGACACGGATACTCTTTCATTTTTGGAGAGTTCGATCATCATTGATTGTACCATGGTGTGCAGCAGCTTGCCAGGCACAACGGGGTGTGCTCAGATTGCTTGTCGCGGGGTTTTGAGTTGACTTTTGGCTCGGGTTCTTTTTTACGAATCGAGTCAAATCTGGATAAGTCAGATTTTGGAATTATTTTTTACAGGCATGGTGGAGGAGTCCAATTGC